GACGCCTTTAAAAAAAAATGGAAAACAATTTCTAGAGGACAACTTTGATGTGGATTGTTTGATGAATAGGTTTACTGCGTGCCATTTGGTAGTCCACTGCCCATTACACGGGTGTCTTACAAACCCCAGCCAGACATGGCGTGCAGAGGAGAGAATGCAACCCGACCCTTGCCCTCCCCGTTTCTGTGAAAGAGACGGAGAGCCTTAATGATGAACTGATACATATTATAGTATCCCAGAGTCGAGGAGGAGGGAATCTCAACACTGGGTCCAGCAATAAGAGGTGAGTGACCTGGGACCTTTTCTATGAACTTACGAAACAGCCAATACAGAAAGGTATTTTGAGTCACAAGGGGGTAGAGCTGAGCATTACAGAGGCTCTGAAGGTAAATGAATAGGATGGATTTTTCTTTTTCTAAATGTCAAAAGTCACTAGCAGAAGACAGAAGAAGAATCTTTTAAAATTGCAGTGTTTAGGTGTCTTGGCTGCAATAAAAAAAAACAAGGTTAGTTATCTCCTTTCTTACCTTGTTTGAGCTGGATGACAAGACCAGATGAACCAGATGTCACTTGAACAGTTTTTCCATTGTGGCTAACACAAGACCATGAGAACCTTACTGTGAACTTCTAAATGTTGGCAAGTCCCAGATGTCTGGGTATATTTATAGCGCAGTGCAGTGTCTTCAAGGCAGACTCCAACCACACTGAACTCCTGCAGGTCCCTAAACATTTACCCAGACCTGAAGCTTCCAGAACGGGGGATTGAAAACACATGGAACGTAGCCAGGTTAATACAGAATTGGTAAGAAGTGCATTACATAATACTGGTTCGATATGGCTAGTGCATTAGATTGAGATTACATCATCTTTTTCCACCTACCTCCCATCTTCCATCTCCTCCTCAATCAATGCAGCATTTCAGTTATTAAAAAGATCTGCTGCGGATAAACTGAACCCACTAATTTTACCTGATTTCAACAGAACTCACTGCATGACAACCTGACTCTTCCGTCAGTCTTAGAGTCATGCAAGATCCCTTTCCTCAATGCCTAACCAAAAATGTAGCACATCATCATCTTAATTGCTCTAGCGAATTTATTTTTTAAAACATGTTAGCACAATGCTTAGCAGTGTAATGCTAATACACTGTTAGGCAAGGGCTAACTAAAAACAAAAAAGATGTCATTTAAAATGCATTAACATTTTCAAGATTAAGAATTAATTTAGCAACCTAAGATCTCTCACAAACTAAAATAATGGAGGTGACCTTTTCAAATATTCAAAATTTAAATCTACATTTTTAAAAATTAGTTTTTTTCCAATACCACAAATTTGATAGATGTTATTTATAAATCCTGGTAGAAGCAACCTGGGGCCTGTTCCATAAAACAAGTTTACCAAATAAACCAGGCTTATTTCAGTTAGTCTGTCTTATTTTGAACCAAATCAACTGACAATAAGTCAAACTAATTGAAATAAACCTGGCTTATTTGGTAAAACAGGCCCCAGGTGTCACAGTGTGCTAATTAAAAAAGAAATCAAGGAATACAGATTACACATACAACACTTTTATTTTTGAATATTAAGACAATGAAGCATAAGCCAAGAGCATTAAGAGTAGCAGGTACTGGTGAAAGAGGGCAAGAGCACCAAGAGTAACAAGTACTGGTGAAAGAGGGGCATGCTGAGCTGCAACCCTCTGCCCCCCAAAAACAGCTAACTGTAACCCAGTCAAACAAAATAATACAACAGAGCAACTTAGTAACCGCCTGGGAGTAGGGACCATTAACTGTACATTAGAGAGAATGAAGGAAAGATAAGAGAAAGGACATCAAGTGCGAGTAATTACATTGTACAGTACAAACCTTGGGCAGTGTATAAAAAAATAATAATAATTGAAACATAAAAGATGGTGAGAGACAGTGATAACCCCATCACTCCAGATAATCCATGGTGCATGTTTCAGCAAGTGTTTTGAGGGGCTAGTCCCAAGGGTCCAATCAGAAATACAGAGGCAGGTCATGGGTGGCGCAAAAATCATCCCAGTCCCAAACTTCACCTTCAGCTCCTTTCTCTAAAACAAATGTGCGTATAGAGCTTTACAGTAACATAGTTACCATGATGATGCTTGTGATTTATTGAATCTGAAACCGATTCAACAGAATGTAATACAAGTCAGACAGCCAGTCTTTTATTTCTGTCTAAACATTGTCAAACACAACCTCCCTATAGTTTGTGAACATATCAAATAAAATTGAACATAAAACCTTTCCTGTTGGTAATGTGCAAGGCTCTGAACACAAAATAATTTCCTCTCTAAAATTTTAACAGTCTTATTTTCTAAAAGAAATTCCAGCTGCACCAGCTTATTGATAGGCGTATATCGTGTGAGGCCACACGCTGCCAATCTAAGTCTTAGTATCACATCTGAGAATCATGACCTTTCAACTTGCTTTGTGATCTGTGCAAGTCTCCATCCACGCTGACTGATCACTTGAGTCAATCATACACCTGATGGTCTATAAATATTTAATAATAATGTTTAACTACATTGTTCTGATAGCAAATCCAGACCTTAAATTGCGTACTAAAATATGGGAGATTAAAAGCTTTGTGCAGGCTAATTCTTTGAGAGATTTTCAACTTTCTTGTGGCACACAACTACGCGCTTGTATAAAAACAACGAATGCATATGTTTTTGTTGCATTTTCTTCAACAGGGAATTTTGCTTTAATTTGCTGCAACATGCAAATTATCCAGACTAGGGACCCTGAAGAAATGGTAAGAAAATTTAAGAAAAGGCACTTCTGAAAGTTAATAAATCTATACAGTGAGCCAATTAGCACCTTTGAGGTCTTAAAGAAGGCCCTTTTTAACTTTGAAAATGTTTATCTTGGAACATTTTTGTAATCATTTTGTGAGGATGGTATCTAAAAGCTATCGCATTGACAATTTTTCACCAAACTTAAACCTTTGGTCACATTAATCTATAGTATCTCTCTCATACCTTTATGATACATTGCACCATGTCCATTTTTCTCATGATGTGAACACAATGATCCTAACCTAAAGACAATTTCAAAGGAGACCGACTTCCCAGACAATTCACATCAGTTTTCACAAGGGTCACCATTAGAGCTAAGCCCAAGAACATTATTGCATTTCTTTACAGTTGCTAATATTAAAAATATTTCATTTTAAATCTGTATCAATATATATATAGATAGATAGATAGATTTTTTAATCCATTACGTCTTTAGTAAAACTAGGGAAAACTGGGGGAGAGAGAAGAGGCACCAGGACCCCATCTCTGCCCCCATCTGACTGAGCAAATGTTCCACCCCTGATGAAAATTGGTACACATAGGTATAGGTAGGTACACGTCAAGTTTCATAAGTTAGTGCAGTGAGGAGTGTCTGGAGCGAAGCCAAGCATGACACTTTTACAGGTGAGCGGTAAGCAGGACAGCTGGCCCCTTCAGATGCCATGTCAACCTAAAACCTGCTTCACAACCTCCATCTAAGCCAAGGCTCTGTCTAAACTGCACTAATTTCACCCACACCTTACAGAAAGAGAGGAGGCGAGGGAGAACAAACCACACAGTGGTGAGTCAGCATCGCCCCAAAGTTCCCTCCTCGGGTCTTTGAATTCTTCCCAGGATGACCCTGACATCCTTTCTTGTGCAAGGGAAAAGACTCAGCGGGATAACGTGCAGGAAGACGACTTTAAATGCATCAGGATAGACTGTGGATTAGTGTTGCCTGGGAGGAACGGATAACACAAAACTTTTAATGTCAGCAGAAGTCTCTTGCGGTTGACAGGGAGGTCAGGGGCAGTGCAACACAATCACACAAAGCTGGTTATAGTTGCACGGTACCACACTGCTGTTTAGGTGTTGTGAGACTGAGCTGAGCATTCGGCAGTTCTACCTGATCTCATCAATTGAAAACAAGTCAGAAAGATGTGGGAATCAATAGTCATATCCCTAGCAGTATACAAAATACATCATACATCAACACCAGGCCCATGAAGAGGATGTCTCACAGCGCCATTGGCACTCTGTGCAGGAACAGTCATTGGAAAACACATCCACTGAATGCACCATACGATGAACTAAAAGCTTTAGATGTATGAAGGCACACTGCTTAAGTGATCTAGGTGTTTTTTGAGACTAAACAGATGGGGCAAACTACACGAGAGTTAGAAATCTTTTAGTCTTTTCCTTTTTCCAGCATTCATCAAAAACATGTGGCATTTGAAATCCCTCATTTTAGTCAAAGAAATTCAAGTGCACATATGGCTGATTCTAAAGTGATAAAGAAGCTGCTCTTGGCCTAGGGGCCAATAATGTGATTATACTCTATTATTTAAAACCTGAACCGTCCTCCAAAGTTGCTTTCAAAAAAAGAATCTGATAAATGCACTACAGATCATTAAAGGGATAGTTCAACCAAAAAATGAAAATTCTGTCATTAATTACTCACCCTCACGTTGTTTTAAACGTGTAAGACCTTTGCTCATCTTCGGAACACAAATTAAGATATTTTTAATGAAATCCGAGAGCTTTCTGACCCTGCATAGACAGCAACACAACACAAGGCCCAGAGAGGTAGTAGGGACAATGTTTAAAATAATGCATGTGACATCATCAACCTGAATTTTATGACCCTACGAGAAAACTTTTTATGCATCAGCAGCACCACATGCGTCGTGGTACTCTTGTGAACGCACGTCGAAGACCGACACGGAAGAGAAGAAATTGTTGAGTAAAGTCATTATTTTTGTTTTCTTTGCGCACAAAAAGTATTCTCGCAGTTTCATAAAATTACGGTTGAACCACTGATGCCACATGGACTATTTTAACGATGTCCTTACTACCTTTCTGGGCCTTGAAAGTGGTAGTTTTGTTGCTGTCTATGCAGGGTCAGAAAGCTCTCGGATTTCATAAAAAAAAAAAATCTTAATCTGTGTTCTGAAGATGAACAGAGGTCATACGGGTTTGGAACGACATAAGGGTGAGTAATCAATGACAGAATTTTCATTTTTGGGTGAACTATCCCTTTAATCAATTATTAAATCATCCCAAAATCAAGCTAAACAAGCCAGCTTGACCCAAATCCAATGGCACTGATGGGGTCACCTCAAAACGTACTCTGTCCTCTCTAGAACAATATGGGCTAGACAAAGTGAACGCAGAGTGTTTATTCCTATATAGGAGGGTGTTTATGCCTAAAAACAATGGTCCCAGTGTAGCAGGTTTATGTATTGCCTCTGCTTCACCCATTAACATAAGCACAGTTAAGTTAAAGTGCTCTCAACCAGCGCCCAACTTCCACGGCACTGATAGACCATTCAAAACAATACAAAAAAAGACGATACAGAATTAGTCACACCCCCGCCCCCCCCTCCCTGTGCAATTAGTGGTAGGAATTAATGATTACAAAACATTCTAACAGCAACAGAACGCAGAGTGTGAGTAACTATGTTTTTTGAAAACCAAGCGCTCTCACATCACACCGCGTCACGTTGTGCATATCATCCTTATCGCTTCCCGGAAGCAGAACGCCACAGAACCCTTCTCTCCACTGCAACGCATTCCCAAAAGCTGTCTGGACACATAGTTTAAGGTCAATCTATCTTTCATGGATTTCTCCGTCTCGTTCTCAATGAGCAGGGTGAAAGCCTTTCTGTGTCCTGCTCTAGAACACTTCCCCCTTTAACAACGGAATGAGCGCAGAATGTTACCATAGGAAACACTGACAGAGCACCATGAAAGCTAAGGATGATGAAAGAAGCTGGGAAAGCAACATTTGAACATCACCCTTCATTTCCCCTCCCCTCAAAATTTGTCCGCAATGTTACTTTGAATAAACATTAACAATGCATATTTAATGCAAGGGAATTAAAAACAGGTGAATGGTACAACATAAATAAAGTGAAATGGCTATAAACCACATAGTCAAGCAGTGAGTGGAGGGGCGTGAAAATATCTGTATCTGCAGATTCCCCCACAGCCATGGGAACTGAGGGAGAAGGAAAAAGGAGACTAAGCCCTCTGCTGCTTCTTCCTAGTCCAGAAGCTGTAGTGAAATGTGCACACTGGAGAGCCACTGTATATGTAAATTCTTTGTTTGTTAGAGTGATAGCAAAAAATGATAGAAGCTTTTATAGTGTTCAGTTTCAGGTCCCTCCTTTTAACCCTTTCCCCTCCACACACAAAAAAAAAAAAAACGAATTCCTCCACCTCTGCAAAG